GCCTGCGTCCGGCCTGGCGGGGCCTACAGTGGCACGACGACGTGTCACATCCACGCTTGCAGTGGAGCGCCGCGCTCGTTCTTGGCAGCGCACTCGAGACGTAAGTGCTCTTCGGGCTGAATGGAGAGGTGAAAGGGGCCCTCGTCTTCATACCGCTTTAAGGTATTTTTGGTCATAGAAGAAGAATATCAATTCAACTGAAACATTGGAAAATGTCTCTCCCAGAATGAGAGTGTATGGTTATTACAAGCCATAAAGCCTCTGAAAGCTCGCATTAGAGCGCCTCTCACCTGTCAGGGCATTTGCATGAAATCAATGGCGGCCACCCATCTATCTCTTCTGATCACCTTTCATGAGGCCGATTCATTAAGTCAAACAGTCATGGTGATTAGCTGGGAGAGAGGAGAAACCTGACGTGTTAGAAATGCACAGTGGGCCGTCTTTTTTGTTCCCCGATCAAGAAACGTCATACTTTAATTCTTCTCGGACCAAGTCGCGTGGTGAGGCCGGAGCGGCCGCCCGCGCGTCCTGCTGCCCAAACCGCGCCTCGCCTGACACCCTTGCCCGGGCCTAGGCAGAGACATGACAGATTGTCCCCCAAGTCAACACTGACAGCTTCTGATGATTAATGGTCTGATTATGAAGTGGTTTTACACATATAGAATTTACATCACAGAGAGTTAGAAATTTTGCCATGTCACATACGCCGAGGCATTTTGAAGAGCGTTACTATTTGCAAAGAAAAAAGAGGGCAAAATCCCAGCAAAAGCCATGTCATGTAAAATCAATACGTCGGATCAATGCTTTATTAACAAGAAAATGTCTTACTTCACATTCCTGTGCGGACCTTTGTCTCCGGGATGTATGATGGAATGTCAAATCCTATTGTGGTCCTCAACTTTCGGGCGTGTTATCGAGTGTACGTGCAAGGCTTTCTGCGTTGCTTACAAGACACGCCAACAGCCCAAGCACTGGAGGAGAACGGCGACCAGTTATTTTGGAGAGCACTTCCAAAGGCGGCCCCCTAACCTTCCTCTTAGGAAGCCACAGCCTTTGTGTTCCCTGCGCTCGGCAGACCTGCTGAGTTGGGTGGCGTTAATCATCAAATTACTAATGAGCGATGGCCCAAATTGCGGGTGGAGTAATGAATAGACAGCGGCAGGTCTTATTAGTCTCCGAAAAGCCCCTGATTTATGTCGTGCCACGCACCGTGGAGTTACTCCACGGAAAACGATATCTACATCAAGAAGTAATGTACTCTAATAAGTATTTTCATCTTAACTCGCGTTCCCGGGCCTCCGGGCTCAGTGTTTGTTGGAGTCAGGCAGAGCCATAATAAAGCCCGATGGCTCCTTATAAAGCTTGTTAAACACAGTGTGGGCAGTCGGTGGGGTCCCGGCCGTGATTCATGCACTGTACGCGGCGCATGTGCCGCTGATTTATGGCTGCGCACAGTTCATAGTCAAAATTACAATTTGAGGGATAAAAAGATTAATTACTATTTGTGGCCGGCAATTTTGTGAGGCTGGTGGATTGCAGCTGTAGAATGATAGCGCTCTACATCAGTTTGTAGTCAGCCATTCACAGATTATTAAAGCTTTGCAAGAATAAGTGTTCCTCCTGCCTGGTTTGTGCTCAGGCAATATGCTAGACAAAAAAGGACCACAGGGATAAATCTGAGGCTAGCAATAGCTGGACATATGTCATAATTGCCAGTTTCCCATAAATCCCTGGCCAGTGCGGAAGGCACCGGGCGACGCAGACATCACATCATGACGGGGGTGATCGCTATATATGGCCCCGAGACCTGGAACTTTTTGAGTGCGCCACCATTGTTACAATATATCGAGTCACCCTTTGACTTTCTTCTAGTCTAATTATAGAGTAGAAATAATCGTTGCTTTTGTGTGCAAAAGAAAAGGGGGGATCTATTCCTGAAGACACAGCTGGCGTTCAGGGGTGCTCGCCGTAGCATCGGGGAAGAACTACGCGTTTATTTGTGAGCGTGCAATAAACAAGTAATGGATGACATAAAAGTAATTAACCTGATCTACATTTTGTGTCCTGTTGCAGCCCTTAATGAACCCACCATAGATTACGGCTTTCAGAGGTTGCAGAAAGTGATCCCAAGACATCCGGGTGATCCCGAAAGGTTACCCAAGGTCAGTAAAAAGAGCAAGCGGCGCCCTGCTCACGGTGGGGCCGCCCCTGGGCTGGTTCTGGTTTGGGGGCAGCAGGTGCTCTGGGAAGGGGGGACCTCAGATGCCCCAAACCCTGCACCCACGGCGGGGCCGACAGGTGTGAGCAGGTTCCCAGGCCCGCGCCCGGCCCGCTGCAGAGGTGGGCGAAGGGTGAGCAATGGGGTGTGTGGCTCCAGTTTTGCATTTTCTCTCCAAGGGACGCCCTTTTTAAGGGAAGAAAAGAACGGCTTTTCTGATAACAAATATTTTGGATTCTGCAAGGGGGACGTAAACTTCCTCGTAATGAAATAGTTCAATTA